TCCCTCAGCCTCTCCTCGTAGTGGAGATGTTCCAGTCCCCTCACCATCCTTGTAGCCCTCCGCTGGACTCTCTCCAGTAGCTCTTCATCTTTCTTGAACTGGGGAGCCCAGAACTGGACACAGTACTCCAGATGAGGCCTCACCAGGGCAGTGTAGAGGGGAAGGAGAACCTCCCTCGTCCTGCTGGCCACACTCTTCTTGATGCACCCCAGGATCCCATTGGCTGTCCCTCGGGAGGGGATCGCTCTGGTTTGAGGCAGCAGTAACAAGAACTCGCCCTGCGCTGATCCCCTTCCCCTTGCCTCTTTTTGCAGGTCCCGAATAAGTTTCGTTATCCCTTCTATTACGAGATGTGTTGGTACGTGCTGGAGCGCTACGTCTACTGCATCACCAGCCGCTCGCATCTGACCAAGGACTTCCAGAAGGAATCGCTCAGTATGGGTAAGCCCCCGGCGCTGGCTGCCCAGCCCTCAGGCGTTCCTCGCCCCTATCGAAGCGGTTCCTTGCACCCTGCTGCTGGGGTACGGTGCGGTGGGCGGGGGAGGTCTGCGTGGGAAGAATCTGGGACCATCGCTTCCTCAGTACCACAAGGTGGTTTCTTTGGGTATTTCCTCCCTGCTCACTGTCTGCGGCACGGAGCAGTCGGAGGGCACTGCAGGCTGGCTGAAGGACATGCAATTTACTTCTTTTCCTGTGAGCAAGAAGCCAAAACTAGCTAGACTTTTGCTTCCTCCTTTGCCCCTGCAGCAGGCCAGGTTCCTTGCAGCTGCAAAACCAGCAGACAAGTTCCTGGCCTTGCTGGAACACGCCAAGCCTGTAACAGAAGAAGAAGGGAAGTTGCAGTAACCGCCGCTGCGCTGTGGGCCGCGGGGCAGTGATGTTTTCTGGCTGAGCAGGGCCTTCCTGCACGCAGAGTTGAGAGTGCTGTCAAGGTTACGTGCAAGGAGTCTCTTGCAAAAGGGATGTCTGGTCTCCTGACAGCCAAGGCAGACAGGGCCTGTGCAGTTTCAGGAGATGACTGCTCACAGAGACCCTTCTTCAGAGTAGGAGAGGGCTGGAGAGCCTCCACCCAAAGCCCCAGAAGCAAGTCTGTCCTCAGTCCCCCAAGAGGCTGTAAGCGCTGACTCCTGGGCACCTCTTGTCACAGCCAGAGCCTCTTCAGGGCTTTAGTTTTCCATCCAAGGGGCCCTAGCAGAGGGACACGGCTCCCAGTTCGTGTCCTTTTCCCATGGTTGTCTGGAAATCTCCCTCAGCACTTGGTTTGGGAAAGGCTGTCTCTGTCCCCCATCTGCTGGGAGGTCTCCAGTGTCTGTCATGTTTTCTCTACCGCTGAAGTGCAGAGAGCTGAAAGGAAGGGAGCAGGAGAGCCCCCTTCCCCTTTACTGTTGGATAAGGGCACTTTATCGGGCATGATCAGGCTCAAGAGACCTCACAGTCATCTGGTGAGTCTACAACCTCTTTCTCCCATCATGAAGGTAGGATGGAAGTCCCAGGTCACTCACAGGATCAGATGGCTGGAGACCCTGAGCCCTCCAAAGCAAAGTCAGGTCGGATGGGGCTTTGAGCAGCCTGATGTCGTGAAAGATGCCCCTGCCCATGGCATGGGGGTTGGACTAGATGATCTCTAAAGGTCCCTTCCAACCCAAACCATTCGGAGATTCTGGGAAATTCAGTCTAGGGTGATGCTGTCTCCTCCTCTGCGAGGTTTTCCCAAGTCCTTTGCTTCTCCTTGCCACAAAATGAGCTGGGAACGGGAAAGAGCTTTAGCTTGTGTTTTCTAGCCGCTGTGTGCCCCAGCAGTTCCTCTTCCCTTGTCCCCGTATGTACCTGTTGCTCCAGTGTCTCTGGTAGCTGCAGGGATTCCTCTAGAAACTTGGCACCTTCTGTGAGTGGTTGTCTGGCCGCTGCGCTCTACTCTAACTCTTTCTCCATCATGGCAGATATGGAGCTGAGCTCCTCGGACTCGGTAAACATGGAAGAGGAGGAGGAGGAGGAAGAAGAGGAGGATGCAGCAGGGAAGGAACCCAGGCGACCGGTCACAAGGCGGTCGATTCTCACCAGCCCCATAGCCAACGGTGCCAATGTGGACTATGACGAACTGGGCAGGAGCTGCCGGAGCAGCCTGCCGGGTCTGAAGAAGACCCCGTCTGTGGACTCTTCCGACTCCAGCCGGGGCTCCCAAAACGGCCAGGCCTGGGACCCAAACGGCGGCAGCCCACGCAAGAGCAGGAAGGTGCACCTGACCCAGTTTGAGCTGGAGGGGCTGCGCTGCCTCGTGGACAAACTGGAGTCGCTCCCTCTGCACAAGAAGTGCGTTCCCACCGGCATTGAGGATGAGGACGCCCTCATCGCTGACGTCAAGGTAGGCAGGCGTGAGGGAGCCGCGAGCGCTGCCGTTCCTCGGGGCTGCGTCCGCTTTCTGGCGGCATCGGAGGTGGAAAGGCAAACTGTGCTCGACCCTGACCTTACCCCCGTGCTGAGGCAAGGGGGTGATGTGTCTGCAGGCTTGGTGTCCTCCTCTTCCTCTACGTGAGGCTGATGTTACACCAGCTGATGCTGAGGGACAGCCCTGGCTTGGATTTTGGGTCGGAGCTAGCAGAACCAGTAACCGCTCGCAGCCAATGTGGCTGAGACCCCCCTGGGGACCCTCTGGGCCCTGTCTGGGTCCCTTACGGGTGTCAGGGCAAGAGTGTTCGTTTGTGGGCCGGTTTGTTTCCAGTTCTGGCGGTGGACTCCTTGGGCTGCTGGACACTGTGGCAGTTGGAGCCCTTTCCTTGCCCCGGGCTGATCTGGCCTGGGTTGTTGGGTTGCCCTTCTTTACGCCCTGAGCTGTGTCTGCCAGGCCTTTGGAGCTGGCTCCACGAGCTGTGATGTTTTGTAGCCCATTCAGCACTGAAGTGAGAACGTCAGCCTCGCTCTGTTCCCCAAAAGTCCACGTTAGTCTCTAAACCCACCGGTACCTGCTTCTCCCTTCGGTGCCGACGGTGATCTGTTCAGCTGCTCGCCTGTACCAGAGCTGACATCCAGACACAACCATGGGTGTATCCTCGTCTTTGCCGTCGTGTTTCTTCTCCAGCTGCTGTCTCCTGACCTTTTTTTGTGGGTCATTTGGTAAATCCTGTGCTCTGCTGCGTTTGGACCAAGGGCGCAGCTCCGGGCTCCCGGGGTGGGCTGTGGTTTGCAAGCCGAGCTCCGGTGGGGCTGGGCTGAAGGAGCAGGAGTAGGTGCTGCTAGAGGGCTGCAGTTCTGGTTTCCTGTGGCTTTTTCAAGCGCCGCGGTGCGCCGTGGCCTTCGAGCACGCGACGCGGGTGCTGCTGAGCCGTCGCGGTGGGGTGGCCTTGGCCCTAGCACGGACTGTATGACGCTCCGGAGAAACTCAAGCTGCGAGCGCCGCGTTTCACCCTTGGGCTGAGAAAGGGAGGCTGGTGTTGGGGGTTCTGAAGGCAGAGCATTCAGGGTTGTCGGCGTTCAGCTGGGTTTTGAGACCTGTTCAAAGGACTTGTTATGTTCTGGAGCTAACGGACGTGTGCCGATGGCCTCGGTGTGACCCACCAGCCCCCGTGTCCGGTTGTACCTCGCAGATGAGCTGCGGGCGAACGTCCCTGCAGTCCGGTCGGAGCAAACAGCTTCCCTGAAGGACCTGCTCCTGGAAGCTGGCTGTACTCTGAGGTTCAGAGGTATCCGGAGCTGCAGGCCTCTGTCCTTCAGGGCTAGCAGCCTCCCAAGTAAAGCCTGTGCTGCAGGGCACCCTTGAGGCGTGAAGACCCTTAGTCATCAGACTGCAGTGGCTGGAGGAAACAGGACAAGTTTGTAAAACGACAGCAAACCTCTATTTTCAAAGCTTATGTTTTTGTTAGAGGTGATGGAACGCGAGAATGTAGGTTGGCTTTTAGAACCTGAAAAGGGGTACGGCATTTCTAGCTAAACGTTTTAACTGGCCACTGAAAAGCCAGATGAGTGAAGGTCTGATTTTCAGTATCAACAGAATCACAGAATGGTTGGGGTTGGAAGGGACCTCTGGGGTCACCCAGTCTCATCCCCTGCTGAAGCAGGGTCACCCAGACCAGGCCGCACAGGACCGCGTCCAGGCAGGGCTTGAAGATCTCCAGAGAAGGAGACTCCACAGCCTCCCTGGGCAGCCTGGGCCAGGGCTATGTTGCCCTCAGAGGGAAGAAGTTCTTCCTCATCTTCAGCTGGAGCTTCCTCTGCTTCAGTTTGTGCCCATTGCCCCTTGTCCTGGCGCTGGGCACCACTGGAAAGAGTCTGGCCCCGTCCTCCTGACCCCCACCCTGCAGATATTTAGAGGCATTTCGAAGGTCCCCTCTCAGCCTTCTCTTCTCCAGGCTGAACAAGCCCAGCTCCCTCAGCCTCTCCTCTTTTTTCTCATTCTTGTAGCCCTCCGCTGGACTCTCTCCAGTAGCTCCTCATCTTTCTTGAACTGGGGAGCCCAGCACTGGACCCAGTACTCCAGATGGGGCCTCACCAGGGCAGAGCAGAGGGGGAGGAGAACCTCCCTCGCCCTGCTGGCCACACTCCTCTTGATGCACCCCAGGCTCCCACTGGCCTTCTTGGAGCCAGGGCACAGCTTGTATGGAGAACATCTCATTTTTGTTTCTGAAGTTGTTACCGAGCTAGAGGCGTGAGGTGGCCATCCGTGCGTCTGTAACTCGTGGCGTGGGATACGGATCCCGTTTCAGTCACGTTTTCTTTGTGAGCTTCAGTACGACTCCCTCTTCTGACAGCTGTTGTGTTCTTGCGCAGCCGTGGCCGACTCCCCCAGAACGCGGTCCTGCCGTGGCTGCGTCTAAGCCCAACCCTTCCCTCCTCCGTTCTTGTGCCGATGCTCCTGCCTTCCCTCACGGCTCTCGGAGGCGGGATCCGGGCGGGATCCCTCGTGCCGCACCCCAGGCCTGGATCCCTTCTGTTCCCCTGCGGTTTCTCTTGATGTTCTAGCGGAGAACTGGAGCCCAATCCGTTTGCAGTGACTAAAGCAGAACGGAAAGCACACGTCCTCCACGGCGTCCTGGCCTGACTCTGGGGCCAACGGTCCGCAGCAGGTGCTCTTACCGGTACGTCACCAGGTGAGGTCATTGGTGGCCCTGGGATCTGGCCAACAAGTCCGTTGGGAAAGACCTGCTCTGGAGGAGCACGGAATCAAGATGTTCTCCCGTGGCACCTCGATCTGCCTGTCAGATCGGACGTCCTACCACGCTGCTTGCTACCCTCTGCTAAGCAGTGTCCGCAGGTGCAGACCGGGAAGATGCTGCCTTTTCCCACAGCCTCCCGGGTGGAGATCATGGCTTCAGGGTGTCCATGTGTTGGGTTGCATGGAGAAACATGCTTCTGTATCCTGTCATGAGTTGAGCCTGGAGCTGGCACATGGTGGGACGTGACACTTTGGATGTGACGAAGATGTCCTTCCAGCTCTGTGGATTGTCCATCCGTAAACCCGTCCTAGACAAGGCTGCGCCAGGCACCTTGGATAGGACGAGCACGCTGCCAGCTCTGCCTCTCCTGAACCCTTCTAGCTTTGCCTGTCTCCCTTGGAGAGCTCCTGGTGTCACCACGTCGCTGCCTTCTGAACCGGCGACGGGGAGCTGATCTCCGGTGGCTCTGGAGGGTCCACAGGGTGCAGAACGGCTCCTAGCGCTGCCTCAGATCTGCCTTTGCAAAATGAAGTTGGGAACCTGTTGCCTTGTAGCGCTGACGTCTTGCTGAAGCATCTCCGTGCATTTGGTGATGCCTCTGTGCGGGATCTGGACTGGGGTCGTTGGAAGGATCGTTGGGAACTTCTGAGAGGTCCCCGTTGTCTTTGCACTGCTTCTGTCCATCGCCTCTGACCCCTCTCGGGGCGTGCTGGTTGCTGGTGTTTGGACTTCAGAGGAGCGGGATGGTCCGTGAGGCTCCGGCTTTGGTGCTGTCAGACCTGCTGCCGGCTGCCTTGCGGGGAGCTGAGCCCACCTTTGAACCCTGTGCGTGCCACCATGCCACCAAGGCCTGCAGCCTCTGTGGCTGGCACCAGCGGCTTCTGTTCGGGCTCTGCCTGGAGGCGTCGAAGCACTCAGCATTGTAGAAATGAGAAAAGCCTCTCCCAGAAGTGTGGATCCCATCTCCAGGACCTCAGCTCAAAGGCTCCGGTCTGGCGTTGCCCACCTACCTGGCTCTGTTGTGCTGGGGTCTCGCCGTGATCAGAGACACCTTCTCCCTCCTCTGTGAACGCTTTTTACTCCCCTGTGGGTCCCATCTGCCCGAAACGTTCCCCGTGCCTCGTGCTCTCCTTTCCCTGCCCCAGGAGATCTCCCAGCCGGGATCAGCTTTCCCAAAACACTTTGTTTCTCCAGGTGCTCAGCTCTAAGATGAGCAGCGAACGTGGCAGCTTGCCGAAGCCCGGGGGATCTAAAAGCACCCGTGAGCACCCTTGGGAGGAGTGAGTGGTCTCGGGGCTCTCTGCAGCCATGGGGAGGGTGTCCACGATCCCACCGTTGGCTGCGGGGCAAGGGGCTGCAGAGAGGACGTGGTGAGGAACGGGGGCTGGATGAGGAAGACCAGGGTGGGCTGTGAGCCGTGCCCATAAGGTCCACCCGTGGTGGGATGGCAGCACTGGTCCCGCTCCTGCCTGCGGGCCAGGTGGGACTGGAAAGACGAGACGCCCGATGCTACCATGCTTTCCAAACGGAGCAAAGGAGAGCGCTGCAGGCTGCAGCACGCAGGGCCAAAGACCCCCTCTGCTGTCCCCCCTGACCTGGTGTCACTTCAGCACGCCATCTGACGTGCTTGACCTTGGCAACGTGATGGAGGAGCCGCCCTGCGCATCCTCCATGCTGGGCCAAACCATGCTGCGGGGCTGGGCGTCCCCCCCGGCGCGATGCAGATCCGTGGGGAGTCTGTGCCGGGGGTCCGGGGGTGTCGTTGGTGGGTTGGGGGGTGACAGTCTGGACCTGGGTGTCTGGCCAGTGTGGCCCAGTGGCTTCCTGGGCTCTCCAGGGGTCAGAGAGACAAAAGCCGAGGTTGCCAGCGGATGCTTTGGCCGGATCGGGAGCGGACGCTGTTGTTCCACGGTTCTT